CTTACTTGTGGAATGTGATGTTAGTGTCTATTTTATGTTTGTCTGTTCTATTTTTACACCCATTTACCGCACATTTCGTCATTTTTAGCAAAAAATTTTGGAGCTGTTCGCGGTGCAATTTGACCTTGAGCACTAACAACCCGCGCGCTCCTGGGAGCCCGTGTGGAAGCCTTTAACTTGCCTCACTTAGCGTGTGCGGGCTAGGTTTCTATGCGTTATTATTCTAAGTATAGTATCTAAAAGATGTATAATTTAAGTAATTAAAATGCTAACTACAAACATTATTGTGTTTACTATACTTCACACCACATTTTTATCTTCATCTGGAAAAATTACATAGAAATCACATTTGAGGTATTCATTCTAAGATGACGATGTATACCTATTGTAATTGTTTATTACCTTCATATCTAAATTGATGTATACTTTTAAGAGGTTGAAATAAAAAAAGAGTGTATTTTAGTTTATTTATTGCCTTTATCTACCCCAAATCATCCTTCATTTCCAGAGCAACCTTTGGTTTTTATTCTTCAAAGAAGTCTGAAACAAAAATATGTACACAGTCAGGTCATACGTATTGTCACACAGTAAAAACTTTTCTTTTAGAATGCTGGCCACAAAAAAGTTTATTGAATTCGAATTTCGAATTGTTCATGAAAATAAAAATGTATACTTTTTAGAATTTTACTCATTTTTAAATATAGAGTGGACGCTTAAAGAAGACCGTGTGGCAGTTATTGCGTTGCATCGTTGCGGTTACGCGCCAATTCAAATTTTTGACATACTGAAAAATTTGAATATAACCAAAAGATTCGTTTATCGTACCATCAAACGATACAATGAAGACTCTAGTGTAGATGACAGGTCAAGAAGTGGTCGCCCTCGGTCTGTTAGGACTCCAGCAGTGATAAAAGCTGTGAAGGCGCGAATTCAAAGAAATCCCAAACGTAAGCAGAAACTGTTGGCCCTTCAGATGGGGTTAAGCAGAACCACGGTGAAAAGGGTGTTAAATGAAGAGTTAGGGCTTCGGGCATATCGAAGAAAAACAGGACATCGTTTGAATGCTCGTCTAATGGACCTGAGACTGAAGAGATGCCGCGCTTTGTTGAAGCGGTACGCGGGAAAAAATATCGGGAAATTCTTTTTTCAGATGAAAAAATTTTTACCGTAGAAGAGAGCTACAACAAACAAAATGATAAGGTGTACGCACACAGTAGTGAAGAAGCGAGCAACCGTATTCCGCGTGTCCAACGAGGTCATTTTCCATCCTCGCTCATGGTATGGTTGGGAGTTTCTTATTGGGGCTTAACAGAGGTACATTTTTGTGAGAAAGGTGTAAAAACGAATGCAGTTGTGTATCAAAATACAGTCCTGACGGGGTGTGTTAGTTGTTCCACCTCCACGTGTGCGAAGTCTTTGAGCAGTCTGTGGTAACATGTTATCACAGAACGCCCAAGGACGTAGCCGGTACACCCTGGGGCCAACACTGACAATCCTCGGCTTCAGTCTGAGAATTGTCAGTGAGGGCGCGAAGCGATCAACACGGCCCGGCCATGCGTTTCTGGGGGTGGACCATGGCACGTGGTGGGCAGTCTAAACTTACACCCTCCTGCGTTAATGCCTCGGGGGGACTCGGCCATGCTGACGGGGTGAGTATGTGCGGAACACCTGGCTGACTTTGATCAGGTCAACCAGCCGCACATTTCGAGCCCCCGATGTCGCGCAGTGAGCTCCCAACTCCTGCACCTATACTCTCCCGACAATCCTGGTGTCCCGAATGAGACATCCCCAAAGGTGCGGGCTCCGTGGTGGGTGGGAAGTCAGGAGAATGAATTCTAGGAACATATAACATGTATTTGAACGATCATGTTTTAAATACCAACACCCAAAACCCAAAACCGGCGGTACTGGAGGGGAAACCCAAAAGTGCCCCACAAGCAAATACCAACACACAGCGCCCTACGGTGAATGGTAGGTCAAAGGGGAAACCCCAAGGTCAGCCGAGCACCGATGCTGGTGCTAGCACCACACCAGCGGTTGTGGCCCAAACCCCAGGTTCTGCGGCCCCCGCTCAAAACCCATCAAACGCGGCCCTTGAAGCAGGGTGGACCTTGGTGAGTCGCCAGCCCAAATCCAAGGCCACGGCACCCATCCGCAAGGAAGGGACTAGTGGCCACGGCGAGCGCCCATCTCCGGCCCCCAGTGGGAGCAAGGGACGCCCTGCCCGCAAAAACAAGAAAGGCCGTCGTAGACAACGCGAGGGACGCACTTCACACAACCCCCTGCCGAAGGAGGGAGAGGCGAGGCCCCCAGTGGGTGGCGCGAGTGGCCCAGGGACTGCATCAGCACGGTCAAATGGGTCGGTCGCGCACCCCACTGGAAGGCCCCCCCCCCCTTCTAACAGCAAACCGGTAGAGAGCAGGCAGAGGTCCTCGACCATTGCCAAACGTGCCCGCCTTGACGAGACCATATCTCCTAGAGGCGAGCACAAGCGGCAAAAGGTTGAGAGGCCCGCCCAGCAACGCACCTACGCCGAGGCCACCAGGCCCGAACTCATGGCTGTAATTACTTCAGCCAAAACTGGCTACATACGGAGCCCCGATGCCGACATGGTTCAGGTGGCCCTATGTCAGCGCCTGGCGCAAGGAGCGGAGGAGTGCAGGGAGGAGGACGTCGGCCCACAGTTTCGTGGTAAACCTGTCTACAGTGACGGGTCCCTGAAACTGTGGTGTCAGGACACAGCCACCTTCCAGTGGCTAGAGGATGCTATTAGCACCATCAGGCTGCCATCCGGGGAGCCCCCTCTCATTGAAAAATGGGGTGGAGGCTCCCCGGAGGGTGGTCTGTGGACTACTCCTCCCTGGTCACTGGGAGGATGCGCGTCGAATCGGCCGCATTCTCAAGTGGCAAAACCCGTGGGCGGAGGCACACCGCTGGGTTGTTCACAGGCTGCAGCAGCATAGTGGCAACTCCTTCGTAGTGGTGAGCCTCCCAGAAGAGCTCGTCCCCGCTGTCCTGGGGCATGGCCGGCGTCTAACCTTCCAGTTGGGCACGGTCTACCTCAGGTTCAGATCAAAGAGGGGCCTGTACACCGATGTGCCACCCAAGAAGACGGGCACAACAACGACGCGGATGGACGTCTCCCCGGAGCCCTACACCTCCTCCAATATTCCCGGAGAAGATGAAGGGCCCTCCTCGACCCCCGTCTCTGCGGACGCCGCTGTCAAACCGGTGGCGACCAGCAGTGACGACGAGTGCGTGTTGGGGATGGGAGACATCCGACTGAGCGAGGACGTGGACGAGGAGCTGCTATCATCTGATGGCGGTTTCCCCCTCGCTCAGTAAACTTCACATCGTCCAGAGCAACCTCCACCACAGCCAGGCCGCAACGGTTCAGCTTCGGAAATGGTTGGAGGCCAACAACACAGCCATGGCACTAATCCAGGAACCGTGGATTAGTGCCCGTGGCCAAATAAATGGACTCTCACATCTGAGAGGTAAGCTACTATCGACTACCATCTCGGATAAACCTAGAACTTGTATATATTACTCCAATAACTTACATGTACAGCCACTAACTGAATTCTGTTCCAGAGACCTGTGTGCCGTAAAGCTTTTAGCAGACGCGGCCACGGGTCTGCCTAAAGTGGTGCTCGCCTCTGTCTATATGGCGGAGACTGATGTGCCACCACCGCAGGAAATGGTTCAGCTAATCAACTACTGCGAGCAGAACGGCCAGAATATCATCGTGGCTACTGACTCCAATGCCCACCATCCGTTGTGGGGCATGGAACTCGCAAATGATAGAGGTAAGAACCTAACAGAATACTTATTCACAACTAACCTTCAAATCCTTAATAAAGGTATAGTACCAACTTTTATAAATAAAAGATGTAGAATTATTATAGACCTAACCCTAGCGTCAGAAGGAGCAGTGGACCTTATCCATAACTGGCACGTGTCCGAAGAAGCATCTTTCTCGGACCACAGATGGATAAGATTCAGCTTAGAAACAGCCATTAAAGAACAACAACCGAAACGGAATCCCAGAAAAACCGACCGTAAACTATACACGGACAAACTACACCAGAACCTGGGAGTACCGGGAGCACCGGGAAGACTACTGGGCACAGCACAGATAGAAACACAGGTTAAAGAACTAACATCAAACATATTGAACAGCTATAACTCCCACTGAGTGACGCAGTCCCGCGACAAGGCCAACACTGGTGGGGACCTGAGCTTGAGAGGCTACGAAGAAGGGTAAGGAGACACTTCAATAGAGCAATGAACACATGCGCGGATAAGGACTGGGAAAACTGCAAGACGGCCAAATCCAAACTAAAAAAGCGCATACGGTTCAGGAGCACCGCGTCATGGCGAGGCTACTGCGGGAACATCACGTCTTGCGCACAAGCAAACAGAATAAGGAAAATCCTAGGCAACTCAAATTCAACTGAGCTAGGTTCAATACGTAAAATAGATAACACATACACAACTTCCCCTGCGGAAACGGAAAGAACCCTACTGGAAGTACATTTCCCAGGATGTAGGTTCGTTCAAGACGACAGGTGTGTAGAACTGAACTACACCACATCGATCCATAACTGGCGATACGTAGAACAAGTAGTGACATACGAAAAGACAAAATGGGCAGTAAACACATTTGAACCATACAAAGCTCCGGGCCAAGATGGGAGTATTCCCTGCACTCCTACAATGGGGCGGGGACACACTGGTCCAGCACCTGGTCAGCATCTTTCGGGCCTGCCTAGCGTTCAGCTATGTGCCCCACAGCTGGCGAGAGGTAAAAGTCATATTTATACCGAAACCAGGAAAACCCGACTACACTGACGCGAAGTCCTTCAGACCAATCAGCCTCACATCGTTCTTCTTGAAGACTTTAGAAAGGATATGTGACAGAGAACTGAGGGATGGAGCGCTTACGAACATTCCATTACACGGTAACCAACATGCATACAGCCAAGGCAAATCCACTGAATCGGCCCTACATGCCGTTGTGGGCAAGATAGAAGTGGCCCTTAAAGACAAAGCTATCTGCCTGGGCACCTTTAATAAAAAATAAAATAATAAAATATCTTTATTTTCAGACAACTAATTGGTCCATATCTTGTTAGTAGCAGAAAGACTTAATAGCTATGTTAGTACAATAAGACAAACTAAAAATAACTTATCAAATAATAACATAAAAGCAACAAATAGTCAGCCGGGTCACCGAGTCGCACATGGTGCATGCAGCTCGTTGAACCGGCCGAGTACAGCGCTATCCAGCCTTCCAGCAACAACCTGTAGGAGAGTGTTGGGGCTTCCCCTCACTCTGTGGAATAATGACGCAACTTTCTTGCGCGCACCATTGAGGTAAACAGGAGGTACAGATGCTGGAGGTTTATTTCTGCCTTTAAATACCAACAGCTCACTCTTTTTACAATTGTACTTCAACCCATGCCTCTGAGCATAATCCTCACAAATAGCCACTAATTTACGCAAACCCCCAATCGTGGGTCCCAGCAGCGCCATGTCGTCCGCGTAACTTATGTTGTTAAAACATATATCTTCGACGTGGCATCCTACGTAGGTGCTGCTAAGCTCCACAATCAGCTGGTTTACGTAAATATTGAAAAGTCTAGGAGAAGTTAACCCCCCCTGCCTTACTCCGCATTCAAGTCTATACTCATCAGATAACGCATTTGCCCATTTTACATTATTCGTCTGATTTTCGTACCAATATGACAAGATATAGATGAGTTCGGCCGGTACACCTGTCCTCTCCAGCTTTTCCCACAATACGTCATAAGACACTAGGTCAAAAGCTTTAGAAAGGTCCAGGAAACACGCATAGACAGGGGTCTTCCGATCTAGATAGTATTTGACAGTGTGCTTTAACGCCAGTATAGCACTCTCACCTTTATAGATAGTGAAGGAGCCTTCGATAAAACCAACTTCTCCAGCATACAATCAGCAATGAAAAGACACAAAGTAGACGAAGTGCTAATTAGCCGGATTAGCAACATGCTGAAACAAAGAACAATAAAAACAACAGCAAATGAGACCCCATGGGCCATAGTAGCGAAGGGGTGCCCTCAAGGAGGGGTATTGTCGCCTCTGCTGTGGAACATGGTCGTAAATGACCTTATCATTAAACTCAACAAAGAACATTTCTATACAATAGGATATGCTGATGACATAGCTATACTGGTAACAGGAAACTATGCCAATACACTCTGCGACATTACACAAGCGGCTCTCCGAATTGTGGAAAGATGGTGCAGAGCATATGAACTATCGGTAAATCCAACAAAGACGGAACTAGTAATGTTTACCAACAAACGACTACTAGGTAACTACCGATTACCCAAACTCTTCAGCACAGAACTACAGATATCAACCGAAGTCAAGTACTTGGGAGTAATACTGGACAACAAGTTGAACTGGAACAAACATCTGGACAACAAAATTAAAAAAGCTACTATCACCTTCTGGCAGTGCCATAGAATGGTGGGTAAACAATGGGGACTTTCACCCAAGATAACACTATGGCTCTACACTGCGGTGATAAGACCCATGATCAGTTACGGCGCGATAGTATGGTGGCCACGAACCAAGCTGACGACCGCAACCGACAAGCTGGACAAATTCCAAAGACTCGCTTGCATGGCGACGACCGGCTGCATGAGGACAACTCCAACTGCGGCCCTCGAAGCGATGCTGGACCTTCGACCCCTCCCACTGTTCATCAGACAGGAAGCGGCGTCAACAGCAGTGCGTCTAAACAGAGCCGGCCTCTGGAAGCACATGAGGACCTCACATACAGAAATCCTTTACAAGACTGTCAATGAGGAACCGCTACTGGAGGCGGTTGTGGATAGGATCCCAAAACAATACATCTTTGACAAGAAATACAAGATACAATTATTTGAAGATCCCAACGAAGGACTAAACCCCAGAGAGGTCCGAGTCTTCACAGATGGATCTAAAACAAACTCAGGAACAGGTACTGGGGTATTCTCAGAAGACCTCAATATCAGGATATCAGCACCGCTTGGTGACCACAACACAGTATTCCAGGCTGAATGCATGGGCATCAAGTTGGCGGCAGAAGCAATCATAGCGAGAAGAGTAAAGAACTACTCCATTCGAATACTCTCCGACAGTATGTCAGTACTTCAAGCACTGAATAGCTATGACATAAACTCAGGGCTCATTTACGAATGCCATCAAGCACTCATGGAGGTATGTATACAAAACCACGTAACTCTTCAGTGGATTAAAGGACACAGCGGCTCACGTGGCAATGACGCAGCAGATGAACTAGCCAGGAAAGGGTCGGAGACGGACGCTGTAGGACCAGAACCGATAGTGTCCCTCCCCTGACAAGTTGTAGTGTCCTCCAGAACAACTATACACAAAGGTACAAAATCTTTACATAATAATACATGGACCACCCTTACGGTTTGTAGACAGGCGAGGGAAGCACTCCCAACGCTCAACGCCAGTCTATCTCGAATACTAATTAAACTTAAAAAGGCAAGAGCTTCGCACTCTAACTGCCGCCCTAACGGGTCCATACAATAAACACCTTTTCAATTTAGGTATCACAGACAGCCCTCTATGCAGAGCGTGCATGGAGGGTGAGGAAACGGCTACGCACATCCTACTTCAGTGCTCCGGCGTGGCCAACTACAGGGCAAAATACCTTGGAGTGCCAAGGTCGCTCCCCGAAGTCTTCAGCAAACCAAGGAGGCTGCTGAGATTTCTGGAGGAGCTTGGGTGGCACGAGTAGGACCCTGCACCCACCACACGCAAAATAGGCGCTTTGTCGTCGAGTTGCGGATACCAGCCCGTTGCACCAAGTACCAAGTACAGTCCTGACGAACCTTGTGGAACCTGTTTCTCATACCATGTTCAATAACAGGCACTGGGTATTCCAACAAGATTCGGCGCTAGCTCATAGAGCGAAGAGCACACAAGACTGGCTGGCGGCGCGTGAAATCGACTTCATCCAGCACGAAGACTGGCCCTCCTCCAGTCCAGATTTGAATCCGTTAGATTACAAGAATGGCAACACTTGGAGGAAAAGGCGTGCTCAAAGCCTCATCCCAATTTGGAGTCACTCAAGACATCCTTGATTAAGGCAGCCGCCGATATTGACATGGACCTCGTTCATGCTGCGATAGACAACTGGCCGCGCAGATTGAAAGCCTGTATTCAAAATCACGGAGGTCATTTTGAATAAACTTTAGTGTCATAAGAATCTATGTTTTGTTAAGTTCATTTTGGTATATAAATGGTTACATAATGAATAAAGTTGTTTCAATTATTTTATATTAAACATGTGACAGAATTTATGACCTGACTAGGTATATAGTAAGATAGGAGACCTAAATCTAAGACTGAGCCACCCAATGACGAAGAGTGGTGAAGCTCTATACTCCTATGTGGGGTCTTGCTTTCTGATAAAGAGCAATACCTCTCATGAGAGTAGTGACAGATATAGCAGGATGGGTAGTTATATACATGCAGTATGAAGCCAACATAAACGCCAGAATGTTTAGGGGCCTTTCAAAATATATTTAAAAAAATGTTTATATAACTGTGGAAATATAAAAGGGACAAAAGTCTACAGATTAGACCTTCGTTCCTTATGCTCTTTCAGATTTCCACAATTGAACATATCATCAGCAGGAATTAAGAGAACATGTTCAAAACAAACCTGTCATTCTTGTTAAATATTCTATCAAAAAGGTTAACTGCAGGCACCAACTCGGTAATTGCTTCGCAAATGACAGCTACGGATTGGGCATGCAGATCATCTGCTTTGGCAGAAATAATGGCTGCCTCAGCCTGCACCCTGCCAGCATTCATTTGCTGCAAGAATGCTTTGCAAGCTCGCAGCTCCTCAACGCATAAGAATTCCACCCAGCTCTGCTCCGATGCTCATCAGCTCGCTGTCATTGAAATAATAGATGTGATGTAATAAAGAGTGGGAAAGAATTTGCTTGAATTGAAAGTTACTTTGTTTTTTAATTAATAATAATAATAAAGAGTGAGAAAGTTATTGAATTGTATGTTTGAAGTTATTTAGTTACTTTGCGCTAGAGTTGGTGTCCTTTGATTGCTGGAAGGGCCTCTGCCCCAGTCGTTGCCGCCATCGATGTGGCGTAGATTTTCACCCTGCTTTTCATATCATTCCATACCTGAATAACAATAATAACACTGCATATTATAGTGATATATGTTCTGGTACAATAATGGTGAGTGATCCACTCACTGTATCCTATTTATTACCTCTCATTATGACTCACCTTTTGGGATCTATTGCGGGGTCACAAAATAGCTACACACTCGCACCAAAGGCGTGATAACACGCGCGAACAACGCAGAGCGAAGTCATCCTCAAGCCAAATCTCTGTGCGCTTCGAACTCCAGCAAAGATGGAGCTGGCTTACAGTGGTCGCTCGCCGTCCGACCGCATCCACATTGGCTGATATACGTCACATCATTATTAATTCTACATTGCTAACATTTCGAAATTATTAGTAGTCAGCGTACCTATTTGATTGTATAAAAAGATACTATTTTATTAAATAGAATATTAAAACAGGAAAACAATGTGTAGCTACTTTCCTCTGCGTGTTTTATCTACAACAACAACACACTAAATTCAATTAGTTCAAATCACAACGCATATGTTTTGTTTACAATACATTTTTTTTTTCTTCTTTCCATAAAGGAAAAGGCCAAGGTTTTATACCATACAGCCAAGTCTTGGTACATTATTCTTTTTTGGTACATGAAGTTGAATGTTTCTGTAAATATGGCCGCCACAAAGAGGATAGGCAATTTGAGGCGGCGTGCTTGAATTGACTCGGGATTCCTTAGAACGGGCCGATACGGGTATTTTAGTTCGAGATTCGTATAATTTCGCGTCTTAATCTTCGATTAAGGCACAATAGCACTATCCTGTTCCACTTTAAACTAGATTTCACAAAATAATTGAAAGTCTAAATAAAAACGACACTTTTCCCTCCAAAAGGTCCAGAGAGAATCTTCGTTTACAATACAATTTTATGACATTTCTTTTACACACTTTTTTAAATCGATCTTTTATAGACTTGGATTCGTAGATAAATTTTCAATTACGCCAAATTTTATCGGTTTTCAGGTAGTCAACGAACGTCTCTTAACGTTTCGCATGAGGTTATAGTTTTAGGTTTTGTTATGGTTGTGGTTTTGGTTAAACCTTTAAAATTGATAGCGCGATTGCATTTTGTAAAACAGTATATTTATTTACCAAAGCCAAAACCTGTTCCGTTGAATGGTTAAACCTTTCGAAAATAGCGCGATTGGCCCCCTGGTAAAAAGACTAATAAGCCATGACACACCAAAGTAAAGACCACGAAAGCAACTAAAATCCCAATATGTTATCTTCAGTGTTGTCTAATAACACAGAGTAATTAAATGTTGCAAAATTCTGATCTATTACGCCTTCTACTTTTGTAAAAAACGCCTTTTGCGAAACGTCTAACAGACAAAAAAAAGTGCTCAGATCCCCGTCAAACCTAGTTCATTAGACGCGAAAAAATTCGCTGATTTCAATGGTATATATAAAGTCCATTTGCCCATTAATGGTCTGTTATCCCTTTTTCCTTTCCAGAGTCGACTTGTATCTCCCAGTGATTGAACCACTGGCATCAGACTGTTGTGATCAAATAGATGCTCAGCACTAGGAGGTAATCGTCTCAAGGTACATTTCAAATTTTTATTAGGTACCTCATAAATTATGCGCTCCCTTCGAACTTCAATACACTCCACTCTTTTCTCATATACAACTTGCAGAAGTTCCTCCGTATTTCTGTAGTTAACTGAGTTCGGTCCAAAAGAAAACATCACTTTTTCAAATAAATTAGACGGAGTCAAATCCGTAGATGGATTGATTGCCCAGTTTACTATATCCTGTAAGTTTTACCTCATAATGTCTTTATGATCTATTAAACCTCGCCATAACTCTTTCGGTCGAAGCTAAAAAATCTTTTCCTCAATTCAGGTGATAGAGCTCATCATTTATTCTTAATTACACGAAACCCGATTTAACTAGCATTGTAGTTAGTGCTTTTGAATATTTAACTTCCTTCGACTCTTCAGTTTTGACGTCCTGGAGTTTAATTAATGCTTTCACACGGGCCTGAGGCGCGGTCTTAATAACTTTATTGCCGTAGTACCTAGTCCCTCATTAGGTTTAAGAAGAAATTGCACATCGATGCATGTGGGCTGGGAATCTGGAGCAGTAGGCGTAACCCGTAATTTTGTATTTGGCGGCAGGTAGAACTGCACGTAGTTTGTTAAATTACTTACGTCAATGATATTATACTACTTACGTGGTTAATAAGATCATCAAGGCAAGCGACCGCATTTTTTTCCTGTTGACTAATTTTCGTCCTCTTGTTAGGACTCAGGATTCACCTTCCGATTCTGATACTGGCTCCCCAGTGTCGTCTTCCGCGGTCTTGTCATGGGAAGGAGTATGTCGTTGGGATAATTCCTTTACTTCATCATCCACTTGGGGGCTACTAAGTCGAATCCCGTCACACATTTTTACTGTACACTCAGTTTTCCTTCGATATTAAACTATATTTGTACGACAAACAAACTGTTTTCAAGTTTTACAGACACAATAAGAAAACATTTTCGCAGTTTAAGCGGAGTTACACAAACTGCTATGAAATGTTAACAACTCTGAAGTGGTGCCATCTGGTCTGTGGAGCCAACCTTTTGTAAAAATATCGCATAGAAGGTGGCGCCCTCGCGGTGACATGCAGGTACAGTAGGACTAAGACATCGAGTATGATGGACTAAGATGACGAGAGTAATGGTAAGTTCACAAAGCCTTCTTCAATCGACATTGTGTGTTTTTAAGAAGACACATAATAATCTGCTTCATTCATTTAAAAATAATGTCGACGACGGAGCCATAGATACAAAAGTTGTAGTTGAAGTTGAAGTAATTTTACAAAGATTATTGCCAACATTATAAAATAATAAAAGCATTCACCATTAGCGCTTTCAGGAACCGCGTATATATTTCAGTGTCGACATCGAGCGGGCGCTCTGATTGGTCGCCGTCGTCGTACCGACAATTGGACTGTGTCGGTTGACTGACTTCAACGATGCTCGCGCTACAAACGATATATAATTTTAAAATTTTCGTTTTAATTTTGTTTGTCGAAAAATTAAACCGTATTTGGAAGAGATATTTACATCATTGAGATCTTGCATTCCTATTTAGTCTAGTATTTTTTCTTCCATCCTCTAAGAACTTACCTAAAAAAAAAACCGAATCCAAATGTCATGGAGTCTAGAAGTTATTTTTTATTTATTTTTAGCCTTTATTGCTGATAATGATAACTTACTAGCTTTTCTAACAAATTGTATGACATGCTTACTTATTGTATTTTAATTATTTATTATTATTCAATTTGCTGACTCGGTAATTTCAGCTTGTCCTAAGACCTAGGCCTCTTCCAGACATTTCCATTTCTTCCTATCTTTTACTGTTTGCCTCCCTTGGGTATCATTCCACAATATCCCTTGTCCACATATCAATTTTTTTCTCTCATCGTGTGTCCTGTCCAACGCCAGTTTTGCTCTAATATTATGTGTGTGACATTTCAGTTTTTGATTTGCTTTTAAATGTTGTCAGTTATACTTTATGTTTCAATTTTATGTTGAGCACACTTCTTTCCATACTATTCTGACAAACATCAAGTTTTTTGTAATGGTTTTCAGTAGAAGTTATAGCCAGTTTTAATTACTTATGAAATTACCACGCTGCTGTAGTGCATCGAGCATAATCCTTTGGTGCAGGGCTCGTATTGCTTCTTTTTGGCCAGACTGCATTGTTGATTGCAGCAGCGTGGTAATTTCATAAGAATGCGAAATGCGTTATTATATTGCATTTTTAAGGTACTTAGGCTCGCACTTTTGAAGTAGAAGAACTCATAATTGGCAAGCGTAAAACCACTGGCAGTATGCCAGCGTTAACTTCACTTCTTTACTACGTATGGCGACTCTTTTGCCAAGCATGTTACACCGAATTGAAATTACATCCGTCTCTCTCTGTCACAATCGTTTATAAGTTCCTTAGTTAAAACTTGACCCAAGTATCTGAATTGCTCCACAACTTGCATTGCTGTCGCATTTAACAAAACGTCGACGATTATCTTTTTTCCAAACAGTCTATAAAATTTGGCAAATGATCTATTTCGTCCGTCGGCATGTAAACGTTACAAACTAATAGGTAATGACAGGTCGTTACATAGAATACGTCAAACCTGATTCACTATATCAGAATGTAGTATAATTACACTCGTTCCTGATAAAACGATCGACAAATTAGAAATTAGAAAATGTAGATTTTGTCCGCACCATGGCCAAACTTAAATTAATTATAATAATTATTGTAAAGATTTTATAGGGTGCTTTATTAGGAGTTCTTCATCACTACGAGTAGTGATCTATTCTGAATATCACGCTCATTACAAATCGGAGACGGCTAACTGTATATAAGTAGTAAAATATGTCTTGGCCTCAACGACATCCAATCCACCTTCCTAGCTCAATCTCAATAGGCATAGACTGTCACGTCTGTCGACGGTACTACGGTACTGATACTCTTTGACAAAACACTAAAACAAAATACTATCACTATTGAATTGAAAGTGTTTTGTTTGGAACCATTTGGAACATATTAGTTTCTGTGAATGTTCTTGTCTAAAGATTGAAGTCGTTGCCTGGGGGCCTACTATAACCTTTCCAAAAACAATCTTATTTCAATGTAAGCTTATCATTGACTTACAAATAAATGGACGACGGGTCTAATACAAAAACCACGAAAAAAAATGTCCCAAGTCAACCTATTTGAAATTTAAATTGTAATGTCATCGCAGTATCGCGCTGTCAGTCGAACAAATAAAGACTAAAGCGGAGTTTGGCGCTCTGTATACGATTTTAGCGCCTTACAAGTGCGGACCCGACGTCCATATAATTGTAAGTCAATGAAGCTTATTGTAATATTACTCGTTTTCGTACCATGACAAACTTAACAACCGAGTAATGTATTATTGCTAAAGTGACTGAAAGAACGAATGATTTCCCAATATTGTCTATTCCTTACTAAAAGAAGGAAAGAAATAACGCTATATGAACTGTATAATGCCATCTCTTTCTTTTATGATGTTCCGAATCGTTTTATCGTAGCATAATGTACTTTAGTACTTAATATTATTTACATTCAGAGAATTTTAACTGCCAAAAAAGAAAAGTATGTAATAATGAAATCTATTAAAATTACGTTGTTTTCAATTATTATTCCGCATTTTCAAGAAGAAAAATAAATAAAACAAGCTGAGTCTTGATAGTCACGTTGTGAATTCGGAACCATGGTCTAGTGTCAACTGTTAGTTTCGCCAAGGAGCATATAGACGGCGCTTTCATAATTTTACAAAATAAACATCACGTATTTTAATTTTACTAAAAATTATTCCCTATGTGCTTTTAAATAAAAAATAAACAAAATATTGAAGAGGTATATGTTAAAAAATAAGTTCAACTTAACTTTTAATCATTACAAATCAATATTAAGACAATAAAACTGAAAATAATATTGTTTCCTTTGCATCCGTGTAACTATTATAAGATTGCTAAATTTGACATAAGAGCAGTATTACTTTAATAATGTCAAAGTCGCGTCATAGTACGAACTGAGCGAATGAACAGTCACAAAGCTGCCAATAAAACATCATAGTTTTAACATTACAACATTGACTTACAATCATTACAAATAAGCTTTAAGCGCGGTATGGTACGAAAACTCAAAGTAAGGTTAAAGTAATATTGTTTTAAGAGGTTGTGGTAGGCCCCCTGGTGTCCATTCTTTTAATCTCCTCTGGATACAGTTTTTTTCCATCCTATAAGGGATAGTTACTTTTTAAATATCCATGGATTGAAGCATGTGTCTGCTAGCGAATAATATCATGTAGCGAATAAGATATCAGTTTATGTGAATGTTCATGTCTATATATAGATTGAAGTCGTTGCCTGGTTTCCATTCTTTTAATTTTCTCTGGATAAAGTTACTTTTCAAATATCTATGGATTGAAGCATGTGTCTACCCCGTAGCGAATAATGTGTGCCAGTTAAAAAGCAGCTTTGGATAATAAGATGCGGAGGAGTTTTATCTGCTTCATGGCAGAAGTCACTGTTTGTGAGTCTCTGTTTTTCCTAGTTTGAGGTCGGATTCGTAAATAGGCACTATTTACGCCAAAATGTCAGGGTAGAGCTCCTGGTTAGCATTCTGAAGTCATTTCTGACGAGTGCCACTCTAGAGCGTTTAACGCTGTAGACGTCAGGGGTTATCGTGAAGTCAAGACCATTGCTCTGCAGTCATTCGTATGTGAATATCACAGACCTGTGGTGAATATAGTACGCGTCGCAGGGCGTCAATAGTTGCGGCTAGCACAGAATCGTGGTGGATGGCACAAACTTCGGGCGGCCTATACCCAGCAGTGGGTGAAATCAGGCTGTGAGTGATGATGGTGATGATGAATATCGTCACCGTAGAGCGAAAAGTCACTAAGTCGGAAATGGCCAATTTATGTTGGCCTCTGACGACTGTTTCTTTATGGCTGATGGACTAAGTCGCATTTGCGATTTAGTGACTGTTCGCCCTACGGGGCGACGACATGGGCATATTTGTGATAATACGCGGTCGGTAAATTAAAATATAAATATCTACTTTTATGGATATAGGTACGTGCAAAACCAATCAGTACCTACAGTACCCTGTAATATAAAAATCGGCAAAATGTCCAAATATTACCATAAAATGAAATCTCTGTAAATCTTAAGTGTGTAACCACGTAGTCTTACGGAAACAGGAGTGCGAAATCAAATGGTCAAGACTTCATTGTTCTACCAGTCTTTGCATGTCAGGTCTCGGTACTCAAGTTCTTCTAGATTTATTTTATACTTCTAGTAAGTAGTAAAAATATCTATAGGTACTATTACAGTACAATACTACTTACTTGCCTACGAGTAAACATTTGCCTAAAAACATTTTTTACACGATGGGGAAGATACGGTTTATGATTCCCACGCTGTTACACGACCTTCGATTAAATTTGATATCAAAATAGTAACTACCTTGTATTGTAATGGTGAGGAGACATTATTTACTTAGATACCTTAAGAGTTAACAACTGTAAGGAAAGAATCAAGTATTATGATACTTTTTAATGTTATAACCTAAGTAACATTTAAATCATTTTATAACATTCGCTATATATAGTTTACTTGTTAATTTCTGGAACCTAAAAACCTTAAAGCCAGAGGCAAAAATAATTATTATTTGTTAATGTATGTTGTACACTATGCCTACTCTCCTGATTGTCAGTTGATTTAACATAGGGGAAAAAACAACAATTTTTCCTTATTTTCTATATACTCAGTTGGGCTTAATATTATTTATATTATAATTATAATATTGTTAATTTATATTTATTCCATTTATTTCGCATAAGTTAGCAAGCGTGAAGCAGTCGCAGTGTAGGTACCTACACAAAATTGCATTAGTTATATGAAACGTGAATAAAAATATATAATATATGACATAAAAATATAATATTTTGCATAATTTGGATTCGTAATTTTTTCATACCTAATCAAAATATTGTATGCAACTGCATGTAACTATCTACCCTTTTTAATCTTTCTATTTACTGTACTCCCGGCTACGCCTTAGATACGTGTCGCAAACCTGACACTTGGTGTCACATTGCCTCTTAATATTAGGTAGGTGTTACTACTGCGGCATAAGCTATTATTATTTCCTAGCCCTGTGAAAAATTGTCCCATTGTGGTGTACAGTCATTCAGCAAGTGACTATTTTTTCAATTGACAAATTTTTTTGAAATCTTCTTGACTAAATAACTTTGTGATAACATTATTTGATTTTCATATCGAGAAGTATGACAAACATTGTTATCTTTGTATCGAAACTTGTCCCTTTAAAGAGGCTGGCCAGGAAACCTACCAGACAGAAAGAACTACCATCGATATTCGTCAACACTGTCATCCTGTTTATAAAGCAGAAGTAGTTAGACGTAGTTGGTCGCAAGGTCCCCAGACTGCAACGTAGCGAAATGAATGATCATAAGCAAGAAGTTACACTTGTAGCCTCCGAGGGTCTAGACTTTTCCACCGTGAAAGGCACAATGGCTGCAGGCTGGCGTATTTCACCTTTTTCGGTTTACGGCTGAGCTGGCGGTTGAACCCAAGCAATCCGAGATTCAGAATATACTAGTCGTTTGGTATAAATAAAAGTATTTATACGGGTATAATAATAGGTCTAAAGCTGGTAACTTACAATACTCATGTATTATTTTATTTTATAATTGCTATAAGTTTTATTGAAATAATATCGCGACTGAGCGGGCGCAGGTGTGCGCAGACGCACCTCATCGTGAGAAACTCTCCCCTCTTAACTATTTATTCCGCCACCCAACTAAACGTAAGATAGTTCATCATTCTGTCTCTCTTTTTCATATGGTCAGGAAACCAAAAAGGGAAACAAGAACATTTTGACATGGTTACGATTATGATCAATACATCTTGTTCGTG